AATTTTCGAATTTGCAGCTTTTCAGAAGCTTTTTAGTCGCCTTAATCCATACTAAACTTTAAGTGCTCAGTCCACTGGAATCCTGACATTCATTCGTCCCCTGGACAAATAACCAACTCAACGGTTCTCTCGAGAGAAGCGTCTGGAAAGGTCCCAGCGGTTTCGAGGAGTCATTGGTGGATCTGTGTTGCGCACCACCACTTCGAGCATTCAGAAGAATGCCACTTCTAGCTCATAGATCACCGTAAATTTTGCATAAGGGAAAATGAATAGTTCCTAAATTTTGTATAAAGGAAAATGAATAGTTCCGGCTGAGCGATCAGTTGCTTGACCTTTTGAGGATTGCTTAGAAGCAAGCTGATGGCGATTTTGATTCCCTAACATACAATATGGTATCTTACTGATTAGGAGGCTGGAAAAATTACTTTAATAAATTCTTTTTAAAAAATACCTGATATGCATTTTCAGGCTTTTTATCGGATGTTATCCGCAACACGTGCTCAAAATTTAACGTTAAATGTGGACGCTTGTTATTGTCATTTAATTCGGTCAGTGAAAATCCATGCGATTGATATATATCACAATACTGAAAGCACGAAAAGCAGTTATCACAAAACAAATAATAAATAAAAAAATCGGAGACTCAAAAAACCCCCAAATACCTGAAATTAAGAATTCAAAAACTTCCACCAGCCAGCAAGAGGAACTCGAAGTCGGTAAATAAGAAATCGAGGACTCAAAATCCTTCAAAATTAAAATTCATTCACAGAATTCAAAAACCCCTCACCATCCTAACAACAGAAACTCACATTCTCGCCGTATTCGTTTTCAGTGAGAAGCCGAGGCATTCGGAATTATTCCAAACATAGCATGTGACAAAAGCAACCACACGCTGATAAAGTTAACAGACAACAGCAACCACACGCAACAGCAACCACACGCTGGTAAAGCTAACAGACAACAGCAACCACACGCTGGTAAAGCTAACAGACAACAGCAACCACAAGCTGGTAAAGCTCCCCTTTCAAGAGTCTTTTAAAAGTAAGTGTTGGAAAGAGTAGCATTACTGCTGGCAAAGTGCAGTGACATAATAATAAATGAAGTAAAATGGGGGTTGGAAGGAAGTTTATATGGCAAGGGTGCGTTATGTATCTAGAGGTGTAGCGTAGTTGAGCGAACGCTCAAAGCTTCTAGAAAAAGGGCAAATAATTACCTGGTCATGTCCAGCAGCCAACAAATATCTGCCCAGTTCCGGAGCTCCCAAGCCAACACAATCCATATTCATGGTTGCATATGGGTCAGTGTTCAGCTCACTTGTGATTCTCGTCACCAGCGACAATCGTTCCGCAATACCTGGCGTTCCAGCTACTGCAGGAGAACTGCGATCGAACGAAAGCAGTAGAGTCTGCAATAAATAATCGAAATTTTTAGATTGTCAACCTTCAAAAAGTCTCATTTTCTTCCCATAGTATGATATTTGTAATTTACTTCAAGTCAGAGTCGGATTTAGGGGGGAGGGAGGGATAGCGGCACAGGCACCAGTGTTGCAAAAATTCGGGTCTAAAACTAAAACTAAAGTAAACTAAAGCCTAAAGTAACTCCAAGTAGCAGTGTTACAACTCTATTCCTAGT